TAAAATTATTTCTGAAGAAAGTGAGCCATTCACTGAACAAATATTTACTGAGCACCTTCTATGTGCTGGCATAGTACAATAAGAGCTGCTGGGAGGTAACCAAACCAAAAACCAGCTGCTGTCAAGTCAACTCCAACCAAAAAGTGACCCTTTGATTCACAGCAACTAGAGACCAGGAGTGAATAAAATAGAACAAAACTTCCCGCACTCACGGAGCTTCCAATTTCATGGAATAGACCAAAAACAAATGAATATATGTATGGTTGCTGTTGTTGTTAGATGCCGTCAAGTCATCTTCGACTCATAGCGACCCTATGCACAGCAGAACAAAACACTGCCCAGTTCCGCGATCCCTGCTATACTTGACCCATCTCAGGAGCCACTATGTCAATCGATCTCATTGAGGGTCTTCCCCTCCTTCATCAACCCTCCACCTTACCAAGCATGACATCCTTCTCTAGGGAATGGTCCCTTCTGACAACATGACCAAAGTAGGTGAGATGAAGTCTGGTCATTCTCGCTTCCAAGGAGCATTCCAGCTGTACTTCCTCCAGGACAGATCTGTTAGTTCTTTTAGCAGTCCATGGTACTCTCAGCATTCTTCTCCAGCACAACATCTCAAAAGCATCAATTCTTCTTCAGTCTTCTTCATTCATTGTCCAGCTCTCAAACGCATACGAGGTGATTGAAAATATCATGGCTGTGTCAGGCGCACCTTAGTCCTCAAGGAGTCATCTGTGCTCCTCAGCACTTAAAGGAGGTCCTTTGCAGCTGATTTGCCCAGTACTATACGTCGTCTGATGTCCTGATTGCTGCCCCCATTGGTGTCAATGGTAGAACCGAGCAATGTGAAGTCTTTGGCAACTTCACTCTTTTCTCCATTCATCATGATGCTGCTTACAGGTCCAGTTGTGAGAATTTTTGTTTTCTTTATATTGAAATGTAATCCATACTGCAGACTGTAGTGTTGAAACAAGGGCTATCACTGCTGATGATAATGTGGAACAAGGGATATCATTGCTGCTGTCAGATGGATCTTGGCTCAAAGCAAAGAATACCAGAAAGATGTCTACTTGTGTTTTATTGACTATGCAAAAGCATTTGATTGTGTGGATCGTAACAAATTGTGGATAACATTGAGAAGAATGGGAATTCCAGAACACTTAATTGTACTCATGAGGAACCTGTACATAGAGCAGGAGGCTGTCGTTTGAACAGAACAAGGGGACGCTGCATGGTTTAAAATCAAGAAGGGAGTGCGTCAGGGTTGTATTCTTTCACCATACTCATTCAATCTATATGCTGAGCAAATAATCCAAGAAGCTGGACTATATGAAGAAGAACATGGCATTGGGATTGGAGGAAGGCTCGTTAACAACCTGCGATACGCTGACGACACAATTTTACTTGCTGAAAGTGAGGATGACTTGATATGTAAGGTAGACAGAAGAAAGTGCCATGAAAAAATGCAGCATGGCAAAGGCAGGGAAAGTAATGGGGGGCAATGTTTACATGAGGTGGTCTGCAAAACTGGTAAATGAAATTGGAGCACTGACCTGAAATAAAGAAAGGGGTGAACTATTCTGCATACCTGGGGAAAGATTATTCTACATGAAGAAAACCGCAAATGCATAGACCGTGAGGATTCTTGCTCAACCCCAGGCTGACTGCTTCCTACTTTTCCAGCTATACTTGGCCATTTGGTGCTACCCCAACCATGGGGCAATCCTCTAATCAGAGCCCAGACAAAAAAAAAAAAAAAGAATCTTCTCATTTTTACTCTGAAGTTATCACTCTGCCAACACCCTATTAATCTGTCTTACCTAAATAAAACTGAGAATTTACTCATAACTGGTTTAACGAGAAGGAGCTTTGGTGGTGTAGTGCCTAAGGCATTTGACTGCTAACCAGAAGCTTGGTGGTTCAAGCCCACCAGTCACTCCATGGAAGGAAGACTGGGCAATCTACTTCTGTAAAGATTTACTGCCTTAGAAACCCAAAGGGGGTCACTATGAATCATAATTGACTTGATGGCAGTGAGTTTGGTTCGGTTTTTTTGGTACAACAACTAAAGAATGCTGCATACACCCCAAAAAAGCTAAAATCTCTCTCTTCAGATCTTTTGGACTAATACTAGCAATTACTTTACCACTCCAACTCCCTGCCTCCACCAAAAAAATGTGCATGGGGAAACCACAGCCTTTAAAAATATAAATTAATTCTAATTTAGAAAACTGTAGATAAGTAATCCTCAGCAGCTGCCCAATCAGAAACTGCTACAGGCTAACAATAATTTGGAGGGGAGAGAATAATCTTATAAGAGATTAGAAAAAAACTGCTGATGAGATAGAGTGGAACTGTCCCATACTTCCTATGCTACAATCTTTATGAGAGTGGATCACCAAAGTGGATCCTTTTGGAGAAAGGAAAGAACCACTGGGTACAGAACTGCCAACTTTTGGTAGCAGCTGAGCACTTAAATGTTTACACCACTGTATCTCCTAATAGTCTGCATAATAGTGCTCAAATAGCATCAAAGTCCTTTCAACTGATATTGAAATTATTGGCATAAAATTGTTCTCTTACTTCTACATCTTAATTGTGTAAACTGAGTGACTGAGGGATTTTTGTGATTTTGTTGTCATTGATATTCTATAATTCTTTTCCATTCAAAATTCTGATGGCTCTCTTTTATCAAATGCAGCTGAGAGAATCCTTGTTTCTTCATAGCACTGAATTCATACCATACATATGAAGAAAATGAGCTCCAAATTCTTTTTGACCACTCAATCATCCATTGAATGGAGCCAACTCATTTTTATTCAAAGTTTTCAGTATCATTTTACTAATAAGGTAATGCAAATTGAATGAAAACCAAAGTGTTACTGAAGGATTTCATTGCTTAAAAGGACCTTTTGAGTGTATCAAAGAAAGAACTGGAAAAAAATGTGTCCTATTAAAGCATCAATATTGATATTAAAAAGGACATTACTTATGAACAGAAAAAAAATTCACTTAAAGCAGATAATTATTATGGTTCTTGCCATGACTACCTTTTGAAATGCATTTCATCCCTTGAAGAAATGATCACACAAATTCTCTTCCAACCTGGAAACAAATGTAGTCATCATGTGTAGTGTTAATAATAAAGGAATAAAAATTAACAATTCTTTTTTTTGCCTGTGGGCATTTTATAAAGTCATTGATCATCTCAGTTGACAACTTAGTCAACTGGCATAACATAGTTCACAAAGATAATGTTCTACATCCTAGTTTGGTGAGTAATGGCTAGGGTCTTAAAAGCTTGCAAGTGGCCACCTAAGATACAACTATTGGTCTCTTCCCATGTGAAGCAAAGGAGAGTGAAGCAAACAAAGACTCAAGGAAGCAATTAGTCCATAAGACAAATGGCACGCACCAACCACAGCCTCCACTAGCTTGAGACCAGAAGAACGAGATGGTACCCAGCTATTATTATTGACCATTCTGACTAGGGACACAACAGAAGGTCCCAGACAAAACATTTGGAAAAAAAAAAAAAACTCACTGCTATCAAGTTGATTTTGACCCATAGCAATTCCTCCTTGGGTTTCCAAGGTGGTATCACTATGGAAGTAGACTGCTCAACCTTCCTTCTGAAGGACATGCTGGTGTGTTTGAACCGCCAGCCTTCTGGTTAGCAGTCAAATGCCTTAGGCACTATGCACCAGAGAAAAATGTAAAACAAAACTCCAATTCCTAAAAAAAGGCCAGATGTACTAAACCGACAGAGACTAGAAGAACCCCCAAGACAATCACCCTTGTGGAGTTGAAGCTATTTCTGCAGTCACCTTTTAGCCGAATAATAGGTTGGCTTATAAAATAAACAGTAGCACCCATGAGTAATGTACTCCTTTAAACAATGAATTATATGAGACCAAACAGTCAATATTTAAATCCCAAAAGCAAAGGTGAGCAAGTAAGAAGGGATAGGAAAGCTAAAACAATGGAAACAGAACAAACACAATGGAAATAACAAGAATGGTGATACAGTATAAAAATTTTAACCAATGGCACAGAATAATTTGTATAAAAATTGTTAAAGGGGAAAAAATGTTAATTTGCTATGTAAACTTTCATCCTTTCACCTAAAACACAATTTAAAATAAAAAAAAGTCATATATATAGCATAATCCTGAAGAATGGAGAAATAAGTAATATCATGAAATATGGTATTATGTGCTTTAACAAATCAAGTTGAAAGAGTAATTCTCAGTTATTAACTTTATAGCAGTACATGTTCAGAATGTTGCTGCTGCTGTCAGTGGCTGTTCAGTCAGATTCAATTCATGTTATAAATAAGAACCTTATTTATAACATTCCTGTATCATCTTCATAAATGTTGGTCTATTTGAGTCTACTGTTGGCATTACTGTGTCAACTCATCTCATTGAAGGTTCAATATATTGGCTCATAATGCTAATACTGAGTGTGTTATCTCAGTAAAAAATGTTCAGTGAACAAAAGAATAAAGTTAGTCATACTGACCACTGTAGAAGTTACATTATAATGTAAATAGAATAGACCATAACTGCAAGGAATTTTATAAGGAAATTATGCTAAACAAGGAAGTGTTAAGGAGAGACAAATCAGGGAAATATAACTAAAGAAGGAACTATGTAATATGAATATTTATTATTTATCTCAAATAAACAATAAATATTTTCTTAGTAAAAACACCTTCATTTACAGTAAGTCAAAACTTAAGCCTAAGATATTAAGATATGAAAGAACATGTCCACAGTACATAAAAGGAGAATAAATTAAATATAACAATTAAGAATCCTGAAATATATCATTAAGTTTATAAGTCTGTGAAACTTTACTTTCATGTTCATAAACCAGAATCTACCACACTACTGACACAGGTAACAATTTTGTCACACATATTATGATGTCAGTGCAAGAAAAAGCATGAGCTATTTTGGAAATTAGTTACTTTTAAATTCTGTTTCACTTACCTTTGCCCAGTAGCGAAAAGCTAACACCAAGGGAGTAAAGAAAGGTTCCCTTTTGCCCAGAGCAGCCAGTAAATCAGTAGTGAGGCATGCCATATCATTTCCAGCACTCACTCTACAAAGTAAACCACTGTGAATGAGAAAGGAATAAATTTGACTATATCAATACCTTAAAAAGGAAAGTACTTCAAATCTTGCAGCTATCCTTTCCAGTAACATTTTTAAGACCTAAAAAATGATGATAAAAACATTTTAATAAATTTAGAACTAAACTAAACTAAATCTCCATCACTAGCATTACATAAAAATTAAAGAAACATGAAAAATTAATTTCAAAAGTAACATTAAGATTCACTAAAATTTTATTTATATAAGAGAAAGAACATGGATTGCTTCAAAATTAAATAGTAAAACACATCATCTTACTTCATCTCTTTGCGTTGCATGCGATAGAAACTATAAGTGAAATAATGAACTAATTATACTTCTTGACGCTTATTTTTCCTATTCAAGTTTTCTTGCCTTTATTGATGTGTTATTTTAAGAGTAGAGACTAGGAAGGATTTACATATTAATCCACAGATTAAGCAGAAATAGGAACTATATTAAATGAAGTGACAGAATGGTATTGGAGATACTTGAGAGGCAGGAAGAAGAATATGTGGCATTGCTACACAGAGGCAATGTGACACTATGTAGTGGGAAAAACAAAAGAAATCACAATGCCTGCTTTCAAATTCCAATTTTCCCTTAAATGATATGAGTTTGATCAAATCACTTAATCCCTCCAGGCCTCAATTTTCTAGTTGAGAAAATAAGGAAGCTTCATTAAATCACTACAGACCCTTCCAGCTTTCCAGCTTTGAGTAAGAAAATACAGTACTTAAAATTTAAGAAATAAAGTAAGTTAATAGGCCATAAAAGAACACTGAATCATCTCTGTATTATTTCCTTATCACTCACATTGATCTCAAATAGGATTAATTTCCTTTTCCAAAGGTTCTCTACCCTCTCAGTCCTATCAACATATAAGAAGAAAAGCAAGTGAACTGAAAACTAGATTCTAATAGACAATGGGCTCCTTGGGAAGAAGGGGTAGGGTTTCTTATTATGTTTGCAACCCTAGAGCCAAGAACTGCCTACCATATACTGAATACTCATTAATGCTGGGTGAGTGAATAAACTTAAGAGAAAAATGAAAAGTTTTGCCTACAGTTTTATTTTCAACTGTCTAGTAATTTTATTTCTTGTTTTTACGTTTTAGTAAGCTTCATATTTTCAACGAATAGAAACTATTTAGTCATATTAATACAAGTAGAAATCTGAAATAAAATTTTTCTCTTTTGGAGATATTTACTACATATGTGGTTAACTGGTTTCTTTTTCTTGTTTTAATAGTGGTTTTTCTCTTCATTGTTACCAACCTTTTCTGATCTTTGCACACCACAACAGGAACTTTAGCGTGAAAATCAGATTCCACATCTACAAACAATACTAGTAAGAAAAAAAAATAAACACAAATGAGCTAATGTCAACATCTCTCAAATATTTACTCTACAGTAGATATTAATAGTTTCCTTCTAAAACCACTCAATGCTTCTGTGGGATAAGCCACTCTTCTCATGAGCATTAACCTAATGGAATCTCTTACCTCTTTTAGTGCCATTTATTATATACCACAAACTACTGGCACAGTCCAAAATACTATCTGAAAATTATGATCATCTTAAGAAAGGTCTTAATAGTCCTACAAGTTTGAATATTTTCCAGTATACAATCTAGCTAAAGTTGTTAAATCTTCATAGATATAGTAAAGAGAGGACACTACTTACTTTAGAGAGCTATTTCCACAGGAGTCACAAAATGAGGACTTATATAATGTTTTGACAGTTTAGTTCATGAAGTTGTCAAACCAAAGCACCTAACAGGGTAAAGCACACCTCCACCCAGAAGTCTTTCAAGATAGGTCCATGCTCTAAATGTCTTGTCAAAATAATAATAAAAATCATTTCAAGTAAATTTAAAGAAAAAATCCTAGTGATATAGTTGTTGTTGTTGTTGTTGTTGTTATGTGCCATCGAGTAGGCCCCGACTCATAGCGACCCCTCCTTGGGTTTCCGAGGCAGTATCACTACAGAAGTAGGATTGCCCAACCTTCCTTCTGAGGAGTGGCTGGTG